CCAGGAAACACACAGCCAGGCAGACGAGCTCCGAGCCAGCTCCCATGTCAGAGGATGAAGACTACGTATACGCCCAAAATAATAAAAATACATTGAAGGTTCAGCGTATGTCAGTGTTTTAGGAGACTCTGGGACGTCAGGCATACGCTTGATAAAGCGTCTGCAGGACTCTGAGTCGCTGTAAATGTAACTTTACTCTGTGAATAAAAATGATTATCATCGTTTCCTGGAGGAAAACTTTCTCACATTTGCATTTCATAAAAGGTTTTTTTTCCCCTCATCTTTCTGCAGGTTGAGCAAACTAATTTAGAACAGATAAGCGTTTGCTTTGAATCAGGGACTCTCCCTTTTTTATTTCTATTTCCCAGATGCTGAAGAGTTGGCTTCCACTCACCAGGAGCAGGCCGGATCCTTTTGGAGATCCGGTTTGGACCAAAGGGGTGGAGGACCTTCGATGTCCTGATCCCGGATCCCTCTTTACCGGCACAAAGTAGAACTGCAGGTTAAAGGCTCTGGTGAGTCGCGGACACGCGCTCTCGTTCTTCCTCAGGCTGCTGTAGGCTCGGGCCACCTTCCCGGCGACGTGATCGGCACCAAACACCACCACTCTTAGCGTGGTGTTCTTATTGTCCTCATCGCTGCTCAGAATGGGCCTCCTCCGGAAGCAGACGTGTCGTAGAGCCTGGATCTGAGGCCTGGGCAGAGAGTCGGAGCTAAACAGCCGGACCTGCTGCGGCAGAGAGTTGGAGCGCGTCTCGCGCACCACCAGGATGTCTTTGGATTCAGAGTTTCCCAGGCTCTTCGCCCTGGACAGCATCCTGGGGTTCTTGGGTTTGATAAAGAGCCGGTGGAAGTGCTGGCTGAGGCGGGTGGAAACCTTACTGGACTTGGGGGAGCATTTCTCCGCCACAGGAGAGGAGCTGATGTAGTCGTCGGAGTCTTCGAAGTAGTCGCTGTCCACCCCGGAATAGATGGAGGGGGGGTAGGACTCGGACGCCACAGACAAGGTGGAGTACATGGAGTCTTTGGAGGTGGTGGACAGGGAGGAGATGGTGGAAAAGGTGGAGACACGGTGGCTGCTGTTGCAGCTGTTGGCCACAATTAGTGCCGGATCCACCGCTCCGCTCTCCTCGTCGTACTCTGTCAAATCCTGCTGGGAATAAAATCCGGCCTCCTTCTCCTCCTCCTCCTCCACCGCCTCCTGCTGCTCGCTGGTGCCAAACTCGTCCACATCGCGCTCCAGAAGCGTGTGCAGAACATCTGTTCAAATGACAAAATAAAACTAAATAAATTAATCACACCTAAAATCAGCAGCATCATTTCATTCTAACTTTCTAAGCTGCAGATTTTACCAAAGTTATCCTTCTCCCAGTGGAACGTGTAGGTTTTGGCTGTGGGCAAAGGTAGCGTCTGAAGAATTCCTAGGAAGGATGAGAGGAAATCAGATTAAATGTGATCAAACTAAGGCTGCAACATGAAAATCTAATCTCTGTTTTCCTACCAAATCAGATTAATCAGATTTTTATTTCCTTTAAGATTCATGATTAAAA